ATGAATATGCATGCAGAATCTTAGCTGTGGATCTTTGAGCACATCTTTGTAACCACACAATAAATTAAATTTCCTGAATAAATGTATGATCAACTCTCCAGTTGCCTGAAATTCTTTTATGCAGTATAGTATATTAATAGATTGAAAGTCAACTATATTCTATAGAGAAACTGTCAGTGAATTAACTTCTTTCTAGTGTGTTTACTGACTCAAAGATGGTCCATCTTGCTTAATCCTGCTAAGAGAAGTAGGAAAGTAAATAAATGAAAATGGAAGGATTGTTTTAAAGACTGACAAGCTACGCTGTCTCTGGACACTATATCTTAAATACAAATATTTTCTAGAACATTCAGGCTACACATTATGATAAACAGACCATTTAAACAATATACTTTCATTTCTATGAAATGGTGAATGAGACCATAAGATTTAAGTCCTCTATCCTCAGAAGTTTTAGAAAATAGCAGTAATTTACACTATAGCACCTATTGCACAGGCGTATAAGAAAAGTGGATGGATGAACAAAGGCATTTGTGACAAAGTTTTCCTATCTCACAAATTAAACATGTAACAACTAAATTCAAAGAAAAGCATTGAGGTACAAAACAATACAGCATTGAAAATAACAGAAAAATACACTGAACAAGTAGTGTTAACAACACTGTATTAAAATGTAGATTCACAAGAAATAAAATTTGTGATCTTTTCATGAAGTTCAAGTACTTTGACTCTGAGATTAAAATCTCAAACATTTTTAAAAGATTACCAGCTAAAATTATATAGACAAATTTACTGGTAAGTCTTTTCCATCCATTGCCAAGAATAGAACAAAAAAAATCACAGCTTTCTTCCTAAATTACACAGATTTCTGGTTAGGACTAATTTGTAAAACTTATCAGGTCTAGACTATGTACAAATTGCGCACACAGATAGGATGTGTGCTTGGAGAACAAAACATTTTAATTTCCATACTTAAAAACTGTATGAACCCTTAAATATTCAAAACAATTTCTTAAGTATATGTAGCTCAGATATCATTTTTAGAAAACGTATAAGAATTTTTTACAGCACTCATAGAATTTCTAACTCATTTAAAACAATTATAATCTCTGACTCTGATAACTACTTCCTGGATGTACTTGCAATATAAATGATGCAAGTTTACAAGTAAAATAATTTATAATAAAAAATATCATGAATCTCTAAATGGATTTCCAAAATAATTTTTCACTCTTGAACATATACAATATGAACTCTGCACAATTTTATGGCATTAAAAGGCTTTTAGTACCCATTTACAGTGGTGTATAATACATAATCTAATCTCAAGTGAGTCAGTAATCCCACAAATATCCAGTATGGTTACTGTTTTTCATTGGATTACTATTGTGTGCTCTCTAAAGAATAAACGAAATTATCTTATAGCTGTTTAACACAAGGCTGAGACTGTAGTGTAGAATACATTTAATAGAAAAGGTATTTAGACATTTTAGTCATTACGCTTATAGAAATAAAAAAGTCTACCAGATGAACCTTACGAAGCAGAAAATTCAGAAAGACCTTGGAAATAACTTTTATATTTGCTTTTTCAGTATTTAAAAAAATCTCCATAGGAGACAACAGCACAATGTATATTTTGATTTATTGCTTGTCTCCCTCTCTGATACTATTTTTCTACCACGCCTTTAGTTTTAGCTTTGTTATTTCAAGAGCACACATTCCAAACATAACAAGAAAAAGGTACTTTATCTTTTTTCAAAATAAAACAACTTAAATGCACAGCATCTCACAGGAGAATGTTAATATGTAGTATCAAAGTTCAGCAAATGTTAATAAATGTATTAACATAATATATCTTAGTATTTTCTCTTTTAAAATTAATTTATCCTACCTTTGATCCATGCATGTCTTCAAGAGGCTTCAGGTAAAAACATCATGCACAGAGAGATGTCGCTTTGTAACCTGTCTAAACAGCACTTTAGTACACTTATTTGAGTTCAGAGGGTGGAGGTATCCTCAAGTATTGCAATTTTTAGAAGTGCCTACCAAATTCCATAGAAATCTGTCAACATTACAATATGCATAAAAGTTCTTTGAACTTCATTTTAATGTTACAGACAAAAGCTAAAATATATATAAAAAATAAAAATAACCAGAAGAAAAGAAAAAAAGAGATCTGTCAGGTTTAAATGTCATACCACAAAGAGATTAGTTAAAAAACACTCCACTATTCCACAACAGACATTAAAATGTAATTTAGTTTCAGAAAACATAGGAAAGCCACAAAAGATTAATAATAGGAGGTTAAGGGTACCATTTTTCACTCCACACATGTCAGCCACATAAAGCAAACAGGATTGCTACGTGAAGTCCACAGTAATGGAATATCAAAGAGTCAGCTACAAAGCTCATCTAATTCAGACAGTAAAATTAATACTTCAGTGGCATTTTGTTTTGAATACAGGTTGTCAAACATTAGTGTCCTAACCCTGAATCCCTGAGAATAAGCAGCTTTTTCAACACCTCTTTTCTACACTTAAATTTAATCACCTTAACAGCATCACTGAAATCAGTGAGCCTTGCCCCAGTGGTTTTGTTTGTTTGTTTGTTTTTGGCAAGCTACCCTCCCCCGATTGCATCCCAGAAGCCCGAATATAAATAATGCTTCAGAATTAACCATTTTTCAAAGGAAAAGCAGGAAAAGAAATAAGAATTTTAAAGGGTTAAAGCATCTTCTTTATTCTCTTGTTTTCTTTATATTTGCCTACAATAGAATAAGAACATCATTATTTTTTGCTTGTGCCCATTTCCCTCCACAACAGAGGAAGCCTGCATGGTTCACTTGACCCTGAACTGTCAAAAGGATGGGTGAAATGTCCTCTCTGTAACTCATGTCTTTACAACCTTCAGAAACCTTTACAATCACGAACTATTGAACAGGTGAGACAAGGACAAGCCACAAGAGTATGCTAAGAGCTGAAGCAGCATTTGCAGAGATACTATCTTTCCTTAAATCAGCAGATACAGAGATTCTTGGGGAAAGTAAAGCTCTTTGACACTCAGAGCCTCTATCAGACTTGAAAAAACATCAAGGTAGGTAAGAATGAAAATAATTAATATAATTAAGTCTGTTTCAGAACAATTAGAAAATCTTAAGAAAATGGGAGCCAAAAGAATACTTTTTTAGAGGGAAAAGAATCAGGAACTCATAATATATTTCCCAAGCAGGAGAAATAAATATTTAACACCTAGAGAACACTCGAGAGTTATAAAGTCATGTTTGTCAGGAAAAATGATAATCTGCTGTAATGACAATGTCTCAATGGCAGTTAGTATCTAAAGGAATTTTATCTTTAAGCTCTTACACTTGTTTCCAAACGTCTTTTTCCAGTTTCTCATGATGACCGTAACTATGAAAGCAAAGATTTGTGATTTTTTTGCTCATTTCTTTGTTTAAGAAAAATAAAGAAGTTCCTCTTCTCAGTTATGATGCCCATTAATAATCACCTGTGCAAGTTTATTCTGGTGTAGACTACTAACTCTATTTGATCTCTCCCACAGCAACAGCACTCACGCTGGATAAAGCACAATATATGCTGAAATGGGTAGAATTGCCAAAAAAACATCTATTGCAAGATCCTATATACAGATACAAAAACATACTACAATTGTTAATCCAAAAAAGAAAAATTTCATTTTAGGGTTAGTTTGTAGAAACTGGGGAATGGGACGCTGACTACTGGAAGTAAAAGAAAAAAAAAAACAAGGAAAGAAATAATCTGTCTTAGAAGACCTGGTAGTCAACAGTACGTTGTATGTTGAAACAGCACATCACATTGCCGTCAGAATGCAAGCCAACAAAAAAATCGTATCAAGCAGTTTCTTTCTTGTAACATATATTGCATATATTGATCATGTTCCTCTTTTGAAGACGTAACCTCAGTTTCCTGAAGTTCACCCTTAGGTGGTTAACACAAATGTTATTTCTCCTCAGATAACATACAGGTAGATGTGACAGCCTTGGCTTTCTACTGGTCTAAGAATGTGTAATAAAACGAGACACGAAGCACAACTAGCACAAAAACTCTCAAAGCTAAATCCTAAATGTATCATCACATCGTGTGGATATTAAATTATTCCCAGCCAGAACAGTTTTCATAGCATAGCATATTAAACGGTATGGGTAAGTGGCAATTGCTTTATATATGCATACACCAGAAATACCATATATCAAGTATATATCACGAGCAACAAAAAAATATCCCGTTTGTATTTTTTCTCCTCTATAATCTAATAACAATTTCAATAACCTTTTATTCAGACAAATATGATTACAGTACCTAGCAATTTTTTAAAAAATAATCAAAAAATGAAAAGAATTATTGTACATTACACTTATTCTACCAGTTAGATCCCTGGTACGCCACAGTACTAGAATTTTTTTTCTACTTAAATAAAGTAGAAAACAATAGTGACATGAAATACACTTCTCTTTTTTAAAAAACAATACCACACTGGATAAAATGCTCTCCTACTTTTTTAACAGATACAAGAAATAAAAGCGTTTAGGCAGTTATAGTTATTATAATGAGGATGATCATATTGTTTCATTACTGAGAAACTCTTGAGGTAGAAACATACAGCTAATCTCCTAACCTCATCAGGGCAAACATTCTGCCAAACCATGAATTCTCCATAACACCATGTCCAAAGCTGCACACACATCATACTCAAAACCAACTAAACAACAGTATGAGTTGTTGATGAGTTACAAAGCAGAAAAATTATAATATCCAAGCTTTCACCAAACACCAAATAAAGTTAAAAAACCCACCCATCCTCAATGATCTTAAAGCAGAGATTAATTGCTTCCACTTTCCCAACTGTACAACTAACAAATGCACAGTTAGAAGAGTGGCGTGGTTAGGATGGTATTTTACAGATTGATAGTTAGAAAGATTACTGTGGTGGAAAGAGACAATCAAAAATGAAATGCTCACCTGTGACCTAGGCTCACAGCAGAAAACTCCAAAAGGAGAGAGCTCTATACAGAGAGATCCTTTCCCAGGGGCAGTCAGCCCTTAAATGGGGTCTAGGAGAGGTGCAGCCAGGCTCCGCCCCTTCCAGTCACACAGCTGAATCACTTTCACCTGTGCTCCCATGGCTGACTCAGCCCTTGCCTCAGGTGATCAATCACTGGTTCAGGCCGTGACTCACCAGTTCCCATACACCAACTAAATACAATATTTTTATATTCTCAAATCAAAAACTATGATGTTAATTGCACAGAAGCTATAAACATGCAGGCCACGCATCTACAATCTTTGATAGAATCATAGAACCATTAAGGTTGGGAAAGACCTCCAGGATCTGTTCACCTACCACCAATATTGCCCACTAAACCATGTCCCTAAGTATCTTCCTCATATTTTCATGCCTAATGATCTATTAATGTGAATGACAGCTCCAATATTCTCAGCTGAATGCTGATTTTAATGAAACCTAATTTTCCAAAAAGTGATAAAACATTATATCAAAATTACCTTTGTCCTAATCATAAATTTCAGCATGGAAGAGCCTCTCCTTTTCTCCTTGATTCTCAACATTATTTTCTATAGAAACACAAAACTCTTTTTAAAAAATATTTGGTCTACTGATTTTCAGTGAGCTTTGAAAAAAGATATTTTTTGAGCTTATATAAAATTGCTAGCTCATTTTGAATAAAATATACCCTGGACAATTTCTCTAATAGAAGACTCTGATGAATGCATCCTTGCTTAAATCTCAGATTACAGACACCATGTGATTATTGTAGGCATACATACACAAGAGAGACGAGCCAAAATTCGGTACTGCAGACTCTAGCCTGTCAGTGCACTGGTTTTGCTGAGGAAAGCTTCAAAATAGCTGTACAGTGGGCATAAACAGCACGGTTTCAGTAGCAGGGGGCTGCAGAACAGCAGAAACCACCCACCACTCTGAGTATTTCCATCAGCTACAGCGGCCCGGCCCACATAGAAGGCATAAATTGAGGCTAGAGAAAGGTGTCGACTTGGTTTTCTCATCAACACCCAAATCCATGATCAGAAGTGTCTGCTGGTTGATTAAAAATTAAATTCAGCTAAGATGTCCTAGTCCGGATCATTTTGCATGCAACAAACTACAATGCCATGGTGACTTAGAGTTTCATATTAAATAGAAAAATAATAAGTTTTAGTCTTTTTGTCTCAGCACTTGTACAGAGCACCACTGGTGTAATTACAGCAGTATATATTTAACAGCCTGAGTAAATTCAAACAGATAGCAGCAACACCCAGTTAGGTTATTCTCTTATACAATTTTGAGCTAAATAACACTGACAGAAAGTTCATCAAAATACATTTCCCCAGATGGACCAGAATTAGGTACATATTGTTGCCCTACTCTGGAAGCACAGACATTTTAATGACTTCAGGCACAAATCATAGAATCTTTACATCATTTCAGATGTTCTCATATATTAAATGTGTTTTCTTCTGTGTCATAAACATATGAACCGTGTCATTTAGAATAGGAAAGTAAAATACAGAAATTCCTAACTTATGAGCCAAAAAAAGCCCTGGTAATTGCTAAAGGTGGGAGACTTACCTTAAGGTTCAAATCAAGTTTCAAGAAATAATGAAGTGAACCTGTAATTTCTTGCTTTCTGTTCAGTGACCTAATTCTAGCTCATAGATGCTTCATATTTATCAGCTTTTGAAGAAGCTGTTACCATATGTTCATTAATAATTATAAGGATATTTTTAACTTGAAAATGTATACGTGTACATATACATCTCAGGTATGTGGAGAAAGAAAAAAAAAGGAGTACAAAATGCATGTGAGATATCCAGGTACACAGATTATACACATCCACAAAACATTTCCTTTTTTCTCTTACAATATAGACTTCTTCAAAATCAGATTATTATACAATTTTCAAGACAGCCTGCAGCAACAGAAAGCCTTTTCCACCCAGCACTGTGGCACTCAAATGATACTGAGCCTTAGGATGAATCCACAAACTTTTGCATGGCACTCCACTAGTAATCTCAAGTTCTTGCAAAGTAGTACCATTCCAATGTACAGCCCATTATTGGCCATCATTAATGCAGTTAAGTAGCTTGTATTCTTCACCATTATACCGATGTATTGTGGTTTATGATCTATGAAACATTTATGAGAACAAGGAACTCCTCCTAAGAATCAAAAAGGTTATCTTACAAAATTTTCCAAGACCAACTTCATCCGTTGGCAATACTTAGACGTTGATCAACAGAAAGGACTCCACTGGTCAAACTTAACATTCTATATCTGTTGCCATCATTGAAAACACAACTCAAGCCTCCTAGAGAAAATGCCTTCACTTGAAACAATTTTCACTTCCAGTCCATCAACATGAGAGCTGTTTCTTAACTTTGTTGTATTCCATTCCTATTGATATGCTGCTAAATGGTGTTTTGTGAGTCCGTTCCCATAGCTGATCTCACAGAGGCAACAGCCACCTGCTTATGTTTTCCAGTTGTGTTTAAACACTAAGAGTATTCATTAGCCTATTCTGTAAACTTGAGCCAAGAGAAAGGAAATTCTGGTCTTCCGCACTTCACAGCCTAGCTAAATACCATGTGCTAACATGAAGGAACAGAGAGCACTGCTGGGCTCATCTAGGCCAGTCTGTGAAAATTCAGCTCACTCCAATGAAAGAGAACTAGCCAGTAAAACTAAATGCAAACTGGAAGTGACAAGGCTGGATGTTATGAGCAAGAGCTGTTTCTGTAATTCATGCCTCCTGCATTTTACTTATGTACAATTATATCTGAAATCCCTTTTAATTCAAGGATTGGAGGCAAGGGATTGAATTTATTTTATGGATGCTACAAACAACCAAAAAGGGTGTTTGCGGAGGGGTGTCCAGATGGCAGGTGAATCTGGGTCAGCATTGCATCATATGTTCTCTGTTGGAAGCTAGAGGATAGAAAAGTGATTCCTTCCAGTAAGTACAAAGATGGCTATTTTCTCTTTGTACAAGGAAATTATTAGGAATGGATGTTGTTAGGAGGAAGCTGGATGTCAGAGAGAACTTTTTCACATTAAAAAAGGTTTAATTGGATGTAAACAAGAAAATTTAAAACCATAATACAGCTGAAGTTGTAACTTTTCATATAGTGTAAATAGGTTAATAAATCATGAAGTTAAAAGGCAGAAACCATCCTCCATTTCCTATCTGGTAAAATGTTGCAGGACATCTGTGAGCATTCTGTGGTCTCCGACTGGCTGCCTGACCTCATCTCAGAGCAAAGTGCTTGGTTTTCTGGGGATATTCATTATCAAGAACCCCTCTCCTAAAGAGGTGTTTATTTCTGTGTTTGTCCTGCTTCGTGATCTTTCTTTTTCCAGGTACTTATCTCTGCCAACTTTTTTTCTTGGCTTTCTGCTGGCTTTTACTCTAGAGATCAAGCCCCATCTGTCTGTTCTCCTTCCTTTTCAGAGATGTCTCAGATCCTCAGCAACTATTTAAGAATTCTCTCCATAATGGCCATGTTATGTGGAACTTTTTAAAGATGCAGAACCATAGTTTCAATAAAAATATCCATAAAAAACATCAATAAACTGTGAAGGCTTTCATCCTCCCAAATGTTACCTGTATGACAATACTATCTCATATTACTTGCACATGGATGATCACAAAGCCTTTGCTCACACTCTGCTTGTACAATTACTGACATGTTCTTGACAGAATGAGTAGGTAGCAAAGTCACAGACTCAACTCCACAGAACATCAGCATGTTACCTTGAGGTATGCCTTAAAAAGAAGTTATTTGCAAAAAAAAAATCTAGGAAAGAAAAATAAAACATAAACACTGCCTAATGGTCCAGGAGTCATCATTATTCACACAATGCTGTATATCTGAAGCAGCACAAATGAACTGACCTTCTAGTTGCCTGTCCTGTATTGTCTTCCCAATCATTCATCCCTATTCCCTCTCCAATACCCTCATTAACTAGCAGAAAAATAGGACACTTTACTTCCTAGGACTTTTTCTGCAGTTTCATCAAGTCTCCATTCAACCCTTCTGAGAAATATCAAATACCAGCCAAGGTTGTCATAATGCTGACCAGGCTCATCTTGTGTATTTTCAGTTTTGTTTCCACCTGCTCCAAACTTTGTAAGTTATTCTAACCCAGGCTGTTGCTTTGATCATCATTAGCAAACTTCACTCTGCTTTGTAAATGGAAATAAAACAAAACTGTATAGCGAATGCAACCTGATCCACACAAATAGCTTTCAAACTCTTCATAGGCAAGTCTACTTTAGCCTGGACCTTAACTAAACTCTGACATAGAATAGGCAACAAATTCTAAGTTCGTGCTGCCTGGAGACTATAAATGCCCATTCACCCCATCAGATTTACTGGAAGGTCTTTACAGGAAGATCCCATTTTCAATTGCTTAGAACTTTGCCAAAATTTAATTGAAATTATGCTTTACAATGTCTGTCTCAGATATTATTTTTGTTACTGAAACAGGGCTAAAGCCTTTGGAGACAATTATGCTAGGAAAATCTATAGTTTGCCCATGAACCTGGAGAAAGTCACTGGATGTTAATAGCTCCGTAGACAGAGGTATAAGAAAGCTGAAAAGTACAGTATTAAGGAGCTCGGAACTGCCATAGAAGGAAACTCAGGCTTGAAACCAGGAAAAGCAGAACTAAGAGAGAGGACATCACTATGAAAGATTGGAAGGAAGAGTAACAACAGGAGAGAATTGTTTAATTGCTCTTTTTTTTTTTTTTTTTTTTTCCAGGGTGATTTTTCTTTTAAATAAACAGTTGAAATTCACATGGTTAAGAAAGGAATATAATGCATACCATAGCCAGAGGAGTGACAAAGATTAACACAGTGAAGAAGAGAACAGGGATTTGAGCTAAGCAGGCAAACAGGAGCCAAAGTTGAAAGAAACAGGTTAAAGACGTGGTTCTAGAAGGCTCATACATGAGAATCAAGAAGGTTTAATAACATCTCCCTCTCCTGACAGCTGTTG